GCTCCGGTCTCCACCGTTGGCCGAGCACCAAGCGGTGCTTTTTGAGCAGTGCGACGACGGCAGCGCGAACCGGGCCATTGGATGCGCCGGTTCTCATCAGCTCTCCCAGGACCAAAAGTGTCTCGTGTAGGTGATAAGGGTACAAAGGGCATCACTACGAAAGAAGCAAGACCGCTACTAGTAGCTCCTGGCCTTACTACTAGTAGCGAGAAGCTACTAGTAACAAAGGGCATCCCTAGGGTACAAGATCGAATCTGGGACTGAACTCAACTGAGCCAAACCGTACAGATGACTGGGGTAGAAGGGTGAAAACGACCACATGTGCTTCTTCGGGCACCCCCTGCAGCCCCTGCACTCCGAGCCCTAGAGTGCATGATTAGGCTACATGAAGGTGTGAATGCTACTTGGGATTTGCATCCGAACATCTCTTGCAGAAGACCTTGGAAAACAAGATGTGCCCGCAAAAGGTCTACAGTTTTTGCAAAACCGCAGGTGCTTTTCACCCAGCGAAGCATGATCTATGGCTGGAGTTGTTCTTCAACCATTAAGTCAGCTCCCGGAGCGATAGACTTCCGCCGACATCGGCCAATCATGAATTGCTGAGACAGCTGGCTTTCGCTTGGACTCAAGTAGGTCGCGAAGCTGCGCTTCGCTGTGCAAGAAAGAATTATCCTGTGAGGTTGTGGTGGCTCCAACTATCAAAAATCGATCAAAAACAGCCGCCGCTGTAAAGACAACAATGCATACATGAGCTGCTTCGAGATGAATTCACAGACCATCTAAATTATGCGGATCGGTGCTTGCCAGTGTTTGCGCTGCATTTCACCTCCACCAAAGGTGTTGTGGTAGTTGGATCTTTCTCAAACGTGTGAGGTACGGACATCTTCGTGAGTCTTTCCGTCGAGGTGACATGCACTGATTTGTCGCCTTCAATGGGACAAGGTCGAGCCAAAGATTCGGATCTCTCACACACAGAGGGTGTATCCCATGACCAGTAGCGACTAGTAAAGATGAAAATCGCAACCATCGTGAAGTATCCAGCACACACAGGAGCGGCGCACACACACCTTTTGTCTGATGCGGAACCATGCCTTTGAAGTCAGGCGGGCGATCCGGAGCCGGGGCCGGGGGGTGGAGTTCACCCTGCCCGGTGGAAGATCTGTTCGGACGCCGTGGGCGAGAAGACGAGGTAAACATCCGGGATCACGGCTTGTGAGCTGCCGCCCTGCAGATGTGTTCGCTGCGAAGAAAAAATCCGTGGCGATTCAACTTCGTGAGGCTGTGTTGGGTATTCGGTTTGGGAAGGCTCACTTGGGTGTGTCCCTTTATTTGTTGAGCAATTGTATCAATCTGTAAACTCTGTAAACAATGATATATCACTATGAGAACAGCTTGCAACCTAACCATCAATCATGGACCCAGGGAATAGGATGTGAATGAAATCCGACCTACTAAGTTCAAACGAAAGGCTGGGCTGCGCCGGCCCTACTGGCATACTTGTACTAAACACAGTTCCGAGCTCGGGACGCCTCAAAAACTCACGTGCTCTGTGTGAGAGATGTTTCTTTTGGTCAAAACAGTTGGTCGAGTGTTCATGACTTCAAACCCTGGAGGGCTGAGGCGCTGAGGAGAGACACACCGTGTGGAAGAAAAAACGCTATATTTCACGTGGCTGTTTCCCCAGATTGCCTTTTCGTACATCAACATCTATGAGTGTCGTTCAAAACCCATTGTTTTTAAAACGCGCACGAACTTTTGAGAGTGATTTTGCCTGTGCTCCCACCGCAGTCGCCAGGTCTGCGGAAGGTAAGTTGGTGGCCTGGGAAAGTTGGCAGTGGCCTGAATCTTGAAAAGCACAATTTGAGCGACTGAACATAAGGTCATTTGCCAACTTGTTTTCTCCAGGGCTCTGAAAAATAGAAACCACCTTTCTAACGTGAAAGAAGCATTTCCCAAATGGTTATTGTTATCTCCACGGCTTTGAAAAAAACCATTTGTGAAAGTGAAAAAGGTCACTTGCCTGTCATAATTTTTTTTTTCCAGGGCCCTGAAAAGCCGTCTGAGAACGTGACCAAGTGACGAACCCCAACTCGAAGGATCCCATGAAACATACATCGGTCGTTTTCACATCGCAAGCTTTGGGGATCCCTTGTGCCGAAATCCGGATTCGTTCAACCACTTCCAATGGCCACGGATCAACATGTCAAGTCTTTGACTTTCACAACAAGGTCATTTGCCAAATTGTTTTGCCACGGCCCTCAAAAAACAATTGTTTTTGGACGGCTGTCAAAAAGCTTATTGGCCACCCCATTTGTTTTTTTGATGGAAACTTATACGCAACACAAGAACTGCGAAAGGTTTGCATTGTAGACGCGAAAAAATGACGGCGCACAACCCTGCTCTGGTCGATATGCGATTTTTTCCTTGCCGAAACAACATTAACCTAAAGCTGTGAATGTGTTTCAGGGTTGTTGAACAGTTTTGATGTGGTCTTTGATTGTTTTTTTCAGGGGCCCCAAAACATAATTTGGCTATAATGGATCCTTTTTTGCAGCCCCCTCACAAATCAATTTGGTGGCCGATCTCGGATTGCTTTACAAGAGGCCTGAAAACAATGTTGTTATCGACTTTGATTTTCTTGTTGCCGCCTCCTCCATCAAATTGATGAGATATTTCCAGTTTTTTTCAAACAAGTTGAATACGGACTTCCGATTGCTTCTTGCAGCCCTGTTATGAAAAAATGATGTGTTTTAGAGGGTTGATATATTGAAGAGGTCGAAGTCTTACTCTCAAGTATGATACGGTACGAAGTGGATTTGAATTTGTTTGTATTTTGCTATTTTTTTTGAAACATTGTTCCCAGTTTGACGGCTATTTGACCATTGTTCCAAATGGAGATAAACATTGCCTTTAGCCAAAATTGGGATTATGTGAGAGATTCCTTCACGTGGCACAGTTTGTTTTGGAGTACGTGACATACAACTGCACTTTCCCTTTGCGACAATTTTCGTGGGTTGTATTCACAACAAATGGATGGTTGATGATGCGCTTTGCTCCCCGGTAGCTGGCAGTAGCTACGACAATACAGTTCGAAAGCACATCCAACAATTGACAGGTTTTTTCGCACTTGTGACGCGGTTGAACTGCAGTGTTTGGCTCGTGGCGGGGGAGTAAGAACTTGACTCGGCAGTGATGGCAGCCGATCCATCAAGACCTGTTTGTGTTCACCCTTTGTGATTGAACTCGTGATCAGGCGGACGTCGATTTGCTGTTCAACATCTCGGCCCCTCCAAGCTGATCAGGCGCCAAGCTTGCGCGGCCTGTGCAAGCAGAGTGCTTTGAACACTTTTGAGTTCCCTTCCTTGAAGCCTTCCTTGATACCTTGATTCGTCCATTTTGGCCCACAGAGTTTAGCTGCTTTTGGCCTAGTGCTTTGCTTTCTGGCTGCAGCAACTAGCATTCTACGTGTGCTTGGGCCAGAAAGTCTCAAACAAACAAGCGCAAAGAGATTCCTTCAACCAATCAATGACACGCTCTTGGTTGGGTCCAAGTGACAGTGCCTTGACTGGTACCGTGAGACATGACCTGAGTCCTAAGGAGTTTTCCAAATTCAGTCAAAGGCTTGCGAAATATCAGCTGCGCGTACAAGAATACCTCATGTTTGTGAGGTTGCCGAAGGTTTGCCACATGAATTTGCCGAAAACATGCTGCAAGGTTGCCGCAAGTTGTGTTTCGTTTGTTTTTCCTTGTGTTGCTGCAAGCGACTTGTGACCACATACTCCTCTCACCTGTTTTGTGCCTGCAGCCGCTAGCATTCTACGTGTGCTTGGGCCAGAATGTCTCAAACAAACAAGCGCAAAAAGATTCCTTCAACCAATCATTGGCACGGTCTTGGTTGGGTCCAAGTGACAGTGCCTTGACAGGTACTGTGAAACATGACCTGAGTCCTAAGTAGTTGTCCAAGTTCAGTTAAAGGGTTGCGAAATATCAGCTGCGCCGTACAAGAATACCTCATGTGTGTAAGGTTGCCGAAGGTTTGCCACACGAATTTGCCGAAAACATGCTGCCGCAAAGTTGCCGCAAGTTGCGATCCAAGCTACGTCGGCCCAACGCCAGCTCACCGCCCGAGAAAACAACACGTGGGCGCAAATAGGTGGCCGCAAGCAAGTCCTAGGAACTACTAGGACCTTTCTTGTGAAATATGCCCTATTGAGAGCCTGCCTTTGATTCTTATTTTCAGCCAGAAGATCTGTTCATCTCAGCATTGTTTGATGCTGATGGTTGTTAATGTCACGAATTCAACCGTTTCCGTCGGCTTTTTCAAGCCGTTTCCGTCGGTTCTGTGAACCTCGGGTTTGGACGGGGTTCAAACGGGTCCAAGGCACGCGTGTCTGGCGCCTGGAGGCACCAAGCGCATCGCGCCAAGCAGCTGGTTTCTTGGCCTTAACCGACTCCTCCTGATATCAAGAGAAACAGCCATGTCTCTTCCAGTTGGAGGGTAAGATCAGCCAGGTCTCTTCCGATGAGCAGTGTCAAACATCTCCAGGGAGGGTTGATCTCATGACGTTCTAGCACGCTTTTAGGAAACCCGAGGCACGAAAGATTCAAGACAGATCTTCGCTCCTCGCCGAAGTTTACCTATTATAAAGCTCTTTTAAGTGTTTGACTCTGCCCAAATGCTCTTGAATGAAATGCTCCATGCATGACAGCGGACTCTCAACTCCTCCACACGACGCAAGAATACTAGCAGCTTCCGCGCGCGCGGAGCCCCGCGTAGGAAACACACCACAAGACACCATGAAGTCGCAGCGTTCAGAGATCAGGAAAACATGTAGCTTTGACTTGAGGCAGCATCGTGCCAGCCTTCTGCCAGCCCATGCCATGCAAGCTGATGAACGCGCTGAGACGCGCGGGGAACACGTGTTCCATTGAATTGGGCGTGAAACACGTGACCCTTACTTGAGAAGGCTCCTCTTTGGCCACGCGGACGCTGTTTGGTCATGCTTTCAGTCTATGGTCAAAAAGAACACCTCAGGGCCTTGTATGGATTGCTTTGGCGATGTTTCATTTTAGGTTCCGAGATGTGCAAAGGCTTCACAGAGTGCTGCCTGGTCGGGGTCAAACAGTACATTCGGCCATATGTTCAAACTGTTGTCGTTGCTTCGGTATTTTGTCAAGTGTGTAAAGCAGAAAGCAAATTGGAAGAACCTTCAAGGGCATGCCTGTACCTCCCACACGCGTGGAAGATGTACTTGCTGAAGTCCACCAGTCTTGTTGGCTCTACTGGAGGGTGTGTTCAGCATCTCCGGTTTCGGAAGCCTTATGCAGTGCGCTTTTCACATCTTAGCCAAGTGCGAGTTCACTTTGACATTCTTACTGAGACCGCCCTTCTTCAGTGCAAATTGAGGGGATCCAGGATCCCGACGATCTCGACACAGAAGTTTGAAAACATACTGCATTTAAACAAGCACGGGGAATCTGAACACACACACACACACACTCTCGAGCGCGAGCGAGCGTCTTCTTTAAATTCGCGCTCGCTTTCATGTGTTGCATGAATCCCGGCCCCTTTTACTCCGGAGCCAATAATACATGTTCGCACCATCTTGAGAAGCCAGGGCCGCCCCGACTCTCAAAAATGCCCTGGAGCTCTTAATCTGGTGGAGCCCTTAATGCAGTAATACTTAATCTGGAGGTTGCAAAGAGATCCCCCAGGATCCCACGGTTTCTTTCCCCTATTCAGCAACATGATTAATTTCTCGCTATCCGTTTGCTTGACGAAACGAATGCTGATGAACAAACCCAATACAGCTCACGCCCTCGAAGCGAGCGGAAAGTGCTCCTAGTTGTGAATTTGTGTGCTGAATGGTGGGGGAGGCAAAACATATGAAAGATCCAGGCAGAGTACATTATTTGCACGTGTCACATGCCAGCGATAGGCTGTCAACATGTGTCAACAACATGAAAGTCACAACACAATGTTGATGAAGTTCTCATAAAGAGCCATTGCCTGATTGAACATGTCACATTTGTCCAATTTGCCTTACAGTGGACATATCACCAAAATCGTTGGATCATTGGACCGCTTGCCACACCAATGCAAGCGTTTGGTTTCCGCTTGTGTTATTGGTCAAGTGGAGTGCTGCTAACTTCTTGCCGAAAACGAAAGATCCGCCTGACAGGTCCTGTTGGCTTTGCTGAAGCTTTGCAAGCTCGTTTGGTGTGCTCGACCAGTCCACCCTTCTTGCTGTGGAGCCTTGCGGTGGCGCCATGCCAAAGTCCAACGTTTGATAGGCCAAAAGACTCGTTCAAAGGTCAACTTTGAAGAATGACCTCGTCTGCCATGCGCAGTAGCAGTCAATGAGTCAATAAGTCTTTGAAGACTCAAGTGCTTTGCCCCTGGCATGGACCCTGAAGGTAACTAAGTAAACTCAGCCTTGTCTAAGGCCCTGGTTTGTCATTTGTTCATAAGACTTCAGAGGGAAGTGCCCATAGGCCAGGGCTTTTCCTGCACTTGAAAAGTCATTGTGTAGTGTCGCATTCATTGCTGACTGGCAAGTTCATGAAAATTTAAGCTCTAAGTGTCATACAAGTGGAAATTCACCTGTTCTTTGCTAAAAGCAAATGGCTTTCAAAATGCAAGCGTGTCCTTTGCCACACGAGCACGCTTCGTTTCTCATAGAACAAAAAAGGCCTCTTTAAGCAGATTCGCTAAGCCACATCAATTGTGTCAAGCAAAGTCATACCGTGTTAAGCGCAAGATCAAGGCATGCGACACAGGTAGCCGCACTGATGGAAGACACAAAGATCTCACGCGATCTCTGACCTTCGATTGCGCGCGCAGGATTCACATGTTGAATTGAAAGCCAGATACGCTCCAGCTTATACTCTACTCTGACTCTGACCTCCAGCTTTCAAAAGCTGGTTAACGTCAGATATTTAGAGCCTTGTACTGCGACCGAGAAGTGTCTTTTCGTGGAGCTCCAGAGTCATTCTGCATGGTCCGGACGTCGAGTGTCACCGGTGTCACCGTTTGCTCGAAGACTTGTTTCTGCCTCCATGTCACGCCGCGTCCGAGCTTGCCACGTGCACCCATGCCATGTCTTACCGTTGGAGATTCTAGTATTCGAGCCAGTCAGACAACATGGCCTCGCCGTGCCTCTCATCCTTGTCCCATGACGTTGTCAAAAGGGATCAAACAATCTTCCATGTACACCAATAAAGTGGAGTTCGTGACTGCAAAGTTTTCTCAAAGCGCATGAGCTTGCCAGCGCTTGCCGGTATCTGAATTATCACCGTGGGGTGAAACCAGCAGGATTTGGCAGTCTGTTTTGTGAAGTCCATTGTAGCTGCTATGAAAGCTGACCGGTCTCAAGCCGCATTTGGACAATCTAATTTTATGCTTTGAGGTGCCGCATTTGAAGGGCTAGAAGTATTCACACGCTTCTCGCTTTGAGGCTGTAACAATGCAAAAAGTCACAAACACGTGTTGGACCTCTTTGCTGCTCCTGGACTTGCGAGTTACTCAGTACCTCAAGCAGAGCATTAAGTATTCGTGAGTGTATACATGGTATTTTCTGCACGGTACCGAAAATGTTTGACCCCAACACTGGCAATGGCCATATTTCCGAAGGTCTCCAACACACAAGCCAATTGACATCACTTTGCGAGCTGAAACCCATGTGTGTGTGTAGAGACACAGACTCAGTAGCCGTGTCACGTGGCCATGACGTTTTCCCAGCTCCTTTGCAACGGCGACGGCAAAAGTCACTCCTTGTCATTCTGCTTTCAGGTCCAAGACCTCTTTGGGTAGATGCCTGCGTGACTTACCCAAGGGCTTCTGACTCAGCGCCTTTGCTTTTTGGAAGATCGGTCTCATGACCACGCTGAGACGAGTCCCATCCTGCGGCCCAGACCCGCAAGCATGAAGCCGCAACTGGGCAGTCTCGTTTCTTCGTTCAATCCCCAGGGTTTGATCTGAGGTGAACGGTTAGGGTTAGGAGGTTGACAGTCGTTCCACATCCAGCAATGCCTACAATGCATATTCTAAACGTAAAACACATTCTGCAACTAAAGGGGAACATGTCAGGCTTCATGCCGTGTCGTGTTGTTCGGCACGTGTTGAAGAAAATGGACTGTCACACATCCTGTGCCGAGCTCAGATGAGTGTTGGCCAAATTTCAGAAAAGACCAAAAGTGTTCCGATCCAATTCGGAATGTATTTGCTAAGGCCTTGAAATGTCCATAGCAGAGCTTGGGTTGCAAAGGGTAGACTCAGCTTTGATCGGATGGTGGAATGTATCAGTTTTGACGTTGCGTGCAATGTTGCCCAGCCACCAACGGAGGTCCTTTTCTTTGTGTTTGTGTGGTTTTCCAGTCCTTTGCGGACTACGGCGACTACGGATGACAGCTCCTTTTTTACAATGGAGAATCAAGTATGGAACCGTAACCGCACATCTCAGCATTCTCCCCAGAACGTGTCACGTTGGCAGATAGTCTGTCAGAACAGAATGCAAAAGTTTAGTGGATTTGACTTGACAACACGTTCGACATAGTTCTTGAAATTCAGAATGAATGCTCAGGATGTTTGTACATTCAACTGGTTGGCTCCTCGACCAAGCACATGCTGCTGGTGCCTGCTGCCAATCAGTTGATTGGTGCCAGAAACCACATGTGTTTGAAGGTTTCGGTGCAGCTTTGACCAAGAAGGGACGACTGCCCTCGTAAGCCGCATCGCCTGCAAAACTGCTGAGGTGACTAAATGTGACTCCGGGTCCGCAGTGAAGGACTTCACCCAACCGTTATCCATAGACCATTTCGCACATGCGAAAGCTACTTAGCACCTTGTCGCGCCTCGTGTGAGCTCTTTCAAACTCGTTTGCCTGTTGTGAGGTTCCAAAGCCAGGCACCCAGTTTCAACGATTTTCTCACTTGGGACGAGATGCCATTGGTCCACGCAAGGCGCCGTCCATTGGTCCATGGTTTTCTTTTTCCCAGTCGCGATGCCATGGGTGCTTCACTATAGTGGAAAGTAGCAGCAGCTTGCCCATGCTTGCCCCAGTCGCTGACCGTGCCTTCTGGCGCTTTCAAGGAATGCGCCGTCCTTCGTTTTAGGCAAAGGATTCCCTTTGAGCCCTTTGAGCAATCATCGAATCCTTTTATCTAGGCGAGGTATGTGATTTGGCAACTTCATCGGCCCGATTGAGTGTCGCAGGACCGGACCGTTGCTTTGAAATAGGCTTTTGGCAACTGCTCCGCAGCTCTGCATAACGTGCCGTCACGTTTGGACGCCGCCGTCTTCCTCTCTGCGGAACGCGGAGACGGTCTCCACCGGTCTCCACCGGAGCACCGTTGGTGGTGCGATGATGGCAGCGCACGCGCACGGGCCAGATGCGCCGGTTCTCATGAGCTTTCCCAGCTGATAGGGTAACAAAGGGCATCGCGAACCGAACGGAGCAAGGACGCTACGAACGTAGCTCCTGGCCTCAGTGCTAGTAACTAAGAAGCTATTAGTAACAAAGGGCATCGCTAGGGTAGGAGATCGAATCGACAATTCAGCTCAACTGAGCCAAACCCATGTCCAGATGACTTGGGTAGAAGGGGAGAAGCCTCGAGGACTCCCTCAACTGAGCTTTCCGAAAAAAGAACTCCAACTACCCACACGTGCTTCTTCGGGCTGCAGCCTGGCAGCCCCTGCGCTCCCGAGGCCTAGAAGTACTGAGTGGCTACGAGGTCCGGGTGTGAATGCTACTTGGGATTTGCAATCGAACATCTCTTACAAAAGACCTTGGAAAACGAGATGCGCCCGCAAAAGGTCCAAAGGGTTTGCAAAACCGCAGGTGTTTTTCACCCAGCGAAGCATGATCTATGAATCTATAGCTGGAGTTGTTCTTCAATCATTAAGTCAGCTCCCGGAGCCATAAACTTCGGCCGACATCGGCCAGTCATGAATTGCTGAGGCGGCTGGTGTTCGTTCTGATTGGACTCAAGTATAGGTGGTGAAGCTGCGCTTCGCTGTGCAAGAAGGAAGTGTCCTGTGAGGTTGTGGTGGCTCCAACTACCAAAAAAACGCTCAAAAACGGCGTCCGCTGTAAAGACAACGATGCACACATGAGTTGCTTCAAGATGAATCCACAGACCATTGTTAACTTATTAAACGCAGCTCTTGCCAGTGTTTGCACTGCATTTCACCTCCATCAAAGGTGTTGTCATAATTGGACCTTGGACCTTTCTCAGATGGGCGAGGTACAAACAGCTTCGTGAGTCTTTCCGTCGAGGTGACACAAACATTTTCCTGATTTGTCGCTTTGGACGGGACGGATCCAAAGATTCAGAAACACGCAGAGGGTACACACACGCGCACACCCGCGCACATGCGCACGCACACTTTCTCTGATGCTTCCATGCCTGTTCGTTCGTCAGGCGGGTGACAAACGTGTGGAGAAAACCCGGAGGGTCGTGGGCAAGAATGGCAAAGACAAGAGGTAAATCCAAACGAGGGGGTTGTATTCATCAAGCTAGATGAGTAGCTCTGTAGCAGCTCCAGATGCAGCGCAAG